AATTTAAACTTTCTCTCCTACTTTTCTAAAAATAGATTTTTAAATATTTTTTCTGTGGTTTAAACAACGATTTATTATTGATGCAAACTTCAAATTTAAACCAAAACATATATTTGTGTTCCCCAATTTATATACAAGAAACCTGTGCATTTTGAAGTAATTCCGAATTTTCTGTAAGAAAAAAAAACGTGTTTAGATATAATGTAGTCATTTATAGCATTTGAAATATTTATAGAGAAATTTCCGACAATTGTTGAAAAATACCACCCTTAAAATTCGTTTAAATGTAAAATATTTTCAGGATAGATTCACCAGGGTATACCCATCTTCAATCATGTGAAAAAAGTGTAAAAGCCCTAGTCACCAAAATGGACTTTTGGCACACTTTGATTTCGCCCTGGCCCACTGTGCGGCGTTGCTCAGAGAGAGTGGGAAAATAGAGTCTTCGGTCGACGGTCGTAGGAAGGGACCCCGGAAAACCTCCCACCCCCACGGTTAGGGATACTACGAAGTTTTCTTTGACAAAAATATCCCCCTCCAAATGTAAGTCCTCTCCGATCCTTCAATCACATGAGCACCATTCTGACTACTAATTGTTAATTGTTCGATTTACTTTTCTTTCAGAGTTCAAATAGGTTTGACAGTGGAGATGATGCAGGGGCTATGGCTGCTGCTAATTTGGCGAAAAAATGGTCGATCACCGGTTTGGTTTTCGGTATCGTCATCATTGTCCTCTCCTTAACGTTCGTCATATTAGTGAACACGGTGCTGGTTCCTGTGATTTTTTCTGCGGCACTTTCAGCCGTGCCTCCCACATCGCAGCCTACATCCTACTAGGGAATTGTTTAGGTCTGCAGCTGCGTAATGTGGAAAACCAATGTTGTTTTTATTGTCATTGATATATTGATATATTTTCTTGTAATCGTAATGTTCGAAAATGAACGTATACCTTTTAAAGAATAATAGTTAACCTTTTACGGAAAAGAAATAGTTGTAAGAAAAAGAACTAAACAGATACATGTTAGTTTTCGACTAGGCCTACTTAAGATTTTAAAAAGCATCTTGTCTGTAGAGTGAAGTTTTAAAGAACGTCACAGTTCCAAAATTTCACATTATATCAGGTCTATTTATCGGCTCTGTTTTTCGAATCATAGTAACTTTATTCGTCTACATATTTTTTTTTTCATTATTGTAAGAAATGTTTTATCAATAAATTTCATGCACATACAGACTATTTTGCGCTTTACATGTACTACAGTATCACCATTAAAATTACCACTGGTCATTTTATAGATGACGCCCTCTATGACTGTATACCTAGGATCTTCTCCAGGAGCCACGCTATTTTGAATAAATTTGAGGTTTTATAACAGTACACGACAATACTTGCCTATAAGTTATAAATATTAATTAATGTAATCAAACGTATAATTAATTAAAGCATTGTAAAAAAATATGATAAAATAGGGTACAACACAAGGTTCTTAACTTAACGAGCAAGTTAATTTTGATTACAGTAGACCCTCTTGTGGGACACCCCTATTCAGGGACGCCACTATTATGGGAACACTTTTAATATATATCTTTTAACAATATATGTTTTAACACTACAGCCAACCCCCCTATTAAGGAGACACCTCTATTAAGGGGACGGGGACACTTTTTGAGTGGGCAAATGGTCGAATCATTTTTAGAAGGTTCATTGGATGACTAGTGCATGTGTAAATTTCGAGTTCGATTACATTAACCATGGAGATTTCTTGTTTTGTGGATTTTGCAATAGGATTCTAATTTCCTAAGAGGCTGCACCCTGATTTCGAAATTGGCACTATCCATATCCATACCTGGCTTATTTCCAATAGACTAACTCTTAACATTGATAAAACGGAGGTGATGTTAATTGGCACACCTCAGCGGCTAAAAAATATAGAAATTGACGTATCTTTTGCTGGCAAACGGATTAAAAAAGTTACTATGCACAAGCACCTTGGTGTTTATATTGACAATAAGCTTGACTGGCATTCACATGTCAGCAAACTTTGCTCCAAACTTGCACATAAAATTCACATTTTAGCCAGAATAAGAACTTTTATTTATTCTATAATACAAGCTAATTCTCCCACATATTGACTACGGTGCCCTCTTGTGGGGTACACGCAGCTTGCATAACATCACAAAATTCAGAAATTGCAAAATCGGGCCATGAGAATCATAATTAAAGCACCTCCACGCACTTCAACCAACACACTTCTATCCGCACTCAACTTAATGTGTGTATCTCAAAGGGTGCGATATCAGGGCGGTTGCCTTACCTTTAAAGTTATCAACAACTTTGCTCCTTATTTACCTTGTGGAGAGAATTTCTAGAGTCCCTGCCCGAGCTATAAGAACACGAGCTTCAACCAGAGGTGACTTACTTCTCCCAAAGTCAATTTGGAATGTTTTAAACGTGCATTTAGTTATCTTTGTCCTAATTTTTATAATAATTTACCAATTTAGCTCCTGGACTGCAAAATAGAAAATACATTTAAACTTAAGTTAAAACAATATATTTTAAAATTTTAGCCGTTGTTTATTGCTGTTTTATTGAGCTATTCTTATTAAATTGATTTTATTCCTTATTATACTATATTATATTATATTAGGCATTATAAATTAAACTTCTATTTTGAATTATGTCTTTATGTAAGTCAATTTAATACTTTTGAGACTTGTTATGAGGATTGTACGTTATTATTATTATTATTATTATTTATTAATTATTATTATTATTATTATTATGTTGTAATGATGTTGTTTGTACTGTTTTTTAAATTTTATTAAGGATGGCCCTTGAATATCAGTTAACCTACTGGGCTAAACTGGAAGGGTTACCCTCTTTAAAGATGGTTGAAATAAAAAAAATTAATAGTGTTTTATCTAATGCATCCAATAGAAAGCTCAATATTAAAAAAAAGACTATCTGGTCATTAACATTTCACTAGAATAAAGAAACAATATCAGGAACACACACACACATTTTGTAGTTTCAATTACATACCTCTCTTAGTTTCATATATTGAATGATTTTTTTTTGCATTGCAAATTATTGTTATGAATTTATTATATTTAAGCTGTAACTCATTCTTAGGGCAATTAAAATAAAATTATAAAGAATCTATGTTATCATTATACCAAAACATACCAAAACCCCTAAAAAGGGGACAATTTCAAGTTTTAGTTAGTGCCCCCTGAATAGGGGTAGGGACACCCCTATTCAGGGGACACTTTTTTGGTCCCGAAAGTGTCTCCTTAATAGGGGTTCTACTGTAAGTAAGTTAATATGAAGAAAAAAAAGAAATCGAATATGGGACGCCAAATCAACATAATTCGTCGCTCACATCACGAACTAACACAATCAAAGTAGATTGTGTTAGTTCGTGAAATCACAGTAGCGCGTCAAAACGAGCGCGTATTGCTTGTCAAGCAATTTTGTATTCTTTACCACACAAAAAGTCCTTAACGACAATAGCGCGTATTTTGACGCGCTTTTTTGATTTCACGAACTAACACAATTGTGTTAGTTCGTGATGTGAGCGACGAATTTATGTGTCTATGCCCGGGCCCCTCGGGGGAAATGGCACAATACACTATGTTATGATCTGGCAGTAAGGTTAAAGATAGGTAAATGCGGTGGAGGTGCATGATGGGTCATGTGTCATCTTGCAGTACCTTATTACTGTATAAAAATCATAAAAAAATACAACACAACACATTTCCTGATAATCGAATCCCATGATGTGGTTACTTTATTAGTAAACATAATATAGACAGGGCATAGACACACGTTAGAAGAGTCTATTTTTGGATATATTGTAGAACTTTTTTTCTTTTATCTAAGACACCAAAAGCACATTCTAGAGTACTGTAAAAATTATGTTGGCCCACCTCTGGCCCTAACATTAGAATGGCACTGTCTACCAAGTTCAAAGGTTGAATGCCTGGGGTGTAGTGTATGTTCTTTTCCAACCAATGGCGTCTTAACTAAATAGCGTGCTCTTATTGGTCAGTTAGTTTGGCTTCAATTTACATATTTTACCGGCTTAACCTGCTGACAGTTAACACTTCCCGACGGCCCTTTTTACGCTGTGGGAAAGGAATGACATTTGACTATCTCACTCTCAGCGTGATATACGGATTACAAACGGGGAATAATATCGGTTTGTGACTACAAATCTGAACAAACGATTAAACCAATATCTAGTGAGACAAATACCATCTCTTGCAATAACTACAGTGAAACTACAAAATGGAGAAAGATCCTAGTAAGTAACTGTTAATATTATTACTGTATTAACAATAAAAAGAGAAATCACAGGGCAGATACAGTAGGCATAGGCCGCGCTCTAGCATAGCCCTTTGTTGTTGTTTTTTTTAATGAGATGCGACATGATGGACCGCGGCCTGTGCTTTCTTTATCTGAAGTGGGTCAACCTTCAAACACGAAGAGGGCCTATTTATGGCTTGCAATGATGTGTCCATGTATAAATCATTCATATGTTTGCATGCGTGGTCAATGGATACTGACCCGCAAGTTTAAAGCAATGATGGTCATTGCTAATTTTATTATTATTATTATTGGAAGTGCCAGTGGATACATTTATGATTTATGTCACCTTAATAAAAACAAATCAGTAAAACGATATATTTATGTGAAATATGTAACGCATCATCGCATCGTTAATAAACTTGCATTCGGTCATGTAAATTTATCAATTCGGGTTAAGTGTATGTTAAAATGTACCTCTCTCTAAGGCCACGTGAAATAAAATAATTGGTTAGCATCCTTTTGGTATCAAATTTCATGGTAGGGAGGGAGGTTTTTTTTTTCTCGTCGAACATGAAAAACCAGCGTCGGAAGGAAAATTAGCAAAACAAAGAAGAGGAAAACAACAGAGGCCAAAATTGGATACAAGAAATCATGTAATTCATCTATAGCAAGCAGATAAACTTTGCCAATATATATTTTATTATTTTTCCATCCATATTTAGTCTATCTTCAAAATTTTATTTCGTGAAATTTTGCACACAGGTAAGCGAACACGCCATGGTTTTAAACTGATGGGCGCAGCCATGTTTGTTGTCTTGTCTTGTCTCTGGTCACCATCAGAGCGTTCCTCCTTGTTTCTTTTTCGCGCTGTGGATGTCTACTTCCAAAGTGATGAAAATACCAACACACTGATTGGCCAACCTGGCTTTATCTCTAATGAATGCACTACAAAGCATGACGTAAGCATCGGATCGGAGTTTATGCAGCCACAGAGTCTTCTTTTCCAGAGGCAGGGCTAGTTAGGCCTTGCTAATATAAACCTAATCCTGAGTAAATCTTACTGCTTTGCATCGTCTACTGTGCATACAAATACACTCTTTTTATACTGTCTACCGTGCATACAAACTCTTTTTATACTACTACTATTTAAACTAGGCCTTTTCTAGATAGAAGATAGAAGGACTAGGCTAGCCTAGGTCACACTAGACGAGACGATGATGGAATGGAACTGCTGGGGAGAAGCCCAGCCGGCTAGCGTTCGGACAGATGGTAAACAAACCTAGGCCTAGGCCTATATAAATTGCCTTCGGGAGATGGAGTTTTTGAGTGTTTTGTAAAAAAAAAAAAAAATCAGGTCGGGGGCTTTTTCGACGGTCAGGCGGGGATGCTAACCAATTATTTTTTTTTATCTGGCCTAATTGTCATTTTCTAGATAGATCATACAGTACTTTTTATGGATTACGAAGCTCACACTCTCAGTGAAATTGAATAGGCCTACTTATTACTACCCCTAGAAGGAGGAGTAGTACTACAACAATACCTAAACCTATCAGCTCTGCCCCCCCCCCCCAGTTTGCAACCCAGAGAATGGGGAACTTAGCCTATCCCTATTTTAATTTTAACTCGCTTATTGGAACTAATTTGCTGCCATGGGGATGGAGGATACACCCCCAGACAGGGTTGTTGATCCTTGTGCACTCGTGGAATTCTCTACCAAAATCTGTTCATGTTATTCTTGCATCGTTACTTTAAGACCTGATAGATGAGGATACAGTAGAACCCCTATTATTAAGGGGACACCTTTGGGACCAAAAAAAGTATCCCCTTAATAGGGGTGTCCCCTGAATAGGGGTACCTCTATTCTGGGGACACTAACCAAAAACGTGAAATTGTCCCCTTAATAGGGGTTTTGGCATTTTTTCGTATAATGATGACATAGATTCTTTATCATTTTATTTTAATTGACCTAAGAATGAGTTACAATTTAATTATAACTAATTTATAACAATAATTTGCAATGCAAAAAATAAGGTATGAAATTAAAACTATAAAATTTGTGTATGTTCCTGATATTGTTTCTTTATTCGGGTGCAAATTAATAACTAAATATCTTTTTTTTTTAAATATTGAGCTTTCTATTGGATGTACAAGATAAAATTACTATTAATAGGTGTTAACAACTTGGAAATCAGGGTGCAGATAGATTAGAACCCTATATGAAAATACACAAAACAAGAAATCTCTAAGGTTAATGGTCAAAATTGACAAGATTTTATTTATGCGAAGCACACATGCACTAGTGCACTAGGCATCCAATGCCCATTCTAAGGATGGAAACAATTCTGGTGTGATGCAAGTTTATTGCTCAAAAGATGTCAAAATATAAATTTGTATGATTTTTTTTTTCTTATTTTGTGACTACTGTAGTTGTTTTGAGACAATTAAAAAAAAGTGTCCCCTTAATAGGGGTGAAATTGTATTGATTTTACCATTTTGCACACTCAAAAAGTGTCCCCTTAAGGGGTTAGCTGTAGTGATAAAAGATATATTGCCCCTTGTTTCACAGAAAAGTGTCCCCTTAATAGGGGTGTTCCCCCTGAATAGGGGTGTTCTAAAGGAGAGGTTCTACTGTATGTGAACCCCATAAGATTTAATTTTAAACCTTTCTCTGATTGTAAGTTTTGAATTTAATTACAGTATGAACTTCAATGATTTATATCCTGCAGTATATTTCAGCACATATCCCAGTGTTTTTCTATTGATTTGTTTTGTGAATATTAAGTATGGCATGTGAGGTCATTGTTGGATCTAAATGTGTATTGCACAGCGTTTTGCAATCAATTCCTCACAGG